AAGAGTGTACTGTACTAAGAAGACTTCAAACTCATCTGTTACAATCTCTGTACACCTGTTGATCACAGTGCTTTGTCAGAGTGGCTATAGTTTTGTTCAAAAATGATGAATATTTGAGGGAAAAAAATCATTTAAGCCAGTCCTATTTATACTAGTTTCTGTAACTTCTACTTTACTTCTGTATCCAAACAATAAAAATTTCACTCCTTCCAAAAGAAACTTGTCTAGTATTATCTCATATTGTAATAGAAATTTGTATAGTCTCTCTCAGGATATTTTAAAGTCTATGTTTGCCAGTTTACCACTGTATTCTGGAACGTGCTGGAAAGTATGTTTTATAATCTGTTATCTTTACTTGAAAAAATGAGTATATATCCAGGGAATTTTACTGAAATGTTGTTGGCAAATGTTGTTGTATGTCAGATGTTCCCATTTGATGTGGGGTTTTACCTGTAAAGAGCATTGCCTGCCTATAATCTAGTAAAGTAACCCACAAGATAGCTAGCTACACAACCCAATAGTTGAGGTTTTAATGAGCTTCTTTTACAAGCAAGTCCACATAAAGTAAGTGAAATATTCAGATTGTGTTCTTTCCACCTTCCTCTGGTTGTATTATGAAAGAGCAGTTTAGAGCCCAGAGTTTCAGAGAAGAATATCTCTAACAGAATAACTACAGCAAGGGGCTTTGAGCAACCAAAGACATAAGGTGCCATGGAATCAAAGGTAAAGAAAATACAAACAGTGGGCTGGAAAAGCATAAAGAAGAAACCTCACAGAAACTGCCTGTGGTCCTCTGAGAGCCCTGAGCATCATTTACTCACCGTGGCTGGCAGCCTGTGTTGCAAACCCTCAAATATCTGAACGGGGGAATGCAAAATAGTAGTCATTCTTATGGCTAATATCATCTGAGCCTAACAGATGATTTATAAAAATTCAATTCCTGTTATCAAATTATCATCAGGAGGCTTGAGTTCTAGAATGGGCCCTTTGTATTAACTACCCCGAGACCTTTCTAAACCTCTCTAAATTTCAGATTCTTCATCTCTTAAGTGAAACTAAAAGCACATATTTCATACTAGAAAAATATGGAGAACTTTAAATTATAGTATAGTAGGACACAGGACTGGGACTCAGCAAGTGACATGCCCCGTTGCTCAATTTAAGTAAGCACTCACTTTCAGTGTGGTTCAAATGCAAGTTTGGCACCTGACCATTGGAACTTCCTTAAATCTTGTGCTAGCCTAGAGGTGCCTCATCTGCCTCTTTAGTACAGACAGAGTACTTAGAAAGTATTATCAAAGGAGAACTGAGGATAAAAGTCCTAATTAATATGAAGAATCCAAGTACTTGCCCAATTAAATCATTCTGAAAAAGTTATGACAGAAGAATAAATATTAAAATGAACTTAAGGAACAACTCATGAAAATGAACCACAGGAAAACTCTCTTGCTGTCAGAGATACAGGATCAGTAAATATCAGCTAGATCTCAGAATCATCCTAAATCTTATGGTGTTCCAAGTAACATTTGTTATGACCTAGGTCATTTTTAAGTATTGTTTTATACTGTAATTTGTAATTGAATTACAAATTAAAGTAACTTGAAATTTACATTTTATACTTCAATGTCTAGATTTATATTTCTCCCCCTTTGGATTTTTGCTTCTCATTTTAAGAGCTTTTTTTTTCTCATTTATTTAATTTATCTAACTATACCTCATTTTATACTCAGTATTGAGACTTATGAGGCTAGTAAAAATGAAAAGAAGATCAAAGCAGGCTGAAAGAATGCAGTAAGAAAGAAGGAAAACCAGTGCAGAGAAGGAAAGAAGGAGCTCACATTTGGGGTCAAAGGACACATGAGTGTCACCCTAACCGAGTCACTTCTCTATATCTGTTTTCCCCATCTGTAAAAGAGACAAATAAAAGTCCCATTCTCAAAGGGTGAGAACATGAAGCTTGGATGAGTTATTACAAGAAACTCAAAACAGTGGCTGACTTTTAGCCATTGTTATTGATTATTGAAGTTGGTTTTGCTGTAATTCCACTGATTTCTATTGCTGAGACTTTACTAAGCAACTTCCACTGAAGCAAATCCTTGGTTCAATAAATACTTTTTATTTCCCTTATACATTGTGGGACCTAATGCCTGCTTTATCCCTTATGTTTTTGTACAAAACTGTTGAAAAATATGGTTGTCAAAGATCATTCACCTTTGTTTCCAAAACTATTTATTTCCACTGCACTTGCTATTTCCTTTTTGGATTATGTGATTTAAATAAATATTACATTAAAAAAGTATTTTTGCTCACATATAAACAGGAAGTCAAATTATTTGAAAAGACCAGATAAAGGCAAATCTGAAAACACAAAATCAATGAGATACAATTTTATCAAAGTTTGAGGAGGAAAGTATAACTGTCCAGAAGGATTTGCACTCACATATCTCTTTGAGTTATCTAGAAGTTATCACTTAAAAATAAAGAAATAATAACATCAATAAAAAGCTGAACTAGGAAAAGGGAAGACTTACTGAATGAGGTCATAGATAGTGTGAAACTCCAGGCATTGGAAACTGCTCTAAGTCCCAGAGGCATCCTCTAAATTTGCAAATGGCTGAGTATCTGAATACTTCTAACTTAAGATGAAAGACTGATTTTTTTTCTTTGTGACATCTCTTTTGATCTGAATTTTAATTAGCTGATTATTTCCATCCCTATTCAATTAGGTAAAAGGTCTTCCTCAGTAATAGTAGTTTAGGAAAAAGAAAAAGAAAGCTGGAAGATTAGGGCTGGCCCAAGGAAATAATAAAGGTGACCTTCAGACTTTCCTTGTGGGGTCCAGTTCATTTCATGTAGACAGGAAAGGAGGCAGAATCAGACTGAAGCTCTAGTCAGCTAATAACAAAACAAAACAGAAAGCCCTAACACACACACACACACACACACACACACACACACCCCTATCCTAGATAGACACTCCTGACTAAAACACGGGAACCTAAAGATACAAACATGTTTCCATGATTCGAACTAATATAAGTGTTCTTAGAGATATGACAACATTTCTTTTAAAACACAAATTGTATTTTCTACATATAAATCCTATCATAATTTTAGGTAATATCTAAGACGTCAATCTTTGTTTTATGAATTAGGTGTGTGTGTGTGTGTGTGTGTGTGTGTGTGTGTGTGTGTGTGGTACTAGGGTTTGAACCCAGGGCCTTGCACATGCTAGGTAAGCACTCTACATTGAGCAACATAACCAGCCTCTCTTTATTTTATTTTGAAACAGAGTTGCCCAGGTTGAGGAAGCTGGCCTCAAACTTGCCATCCTCCTACCTCAGCCTCCCAGGTATCTGAGAATTCAGGCATATGTCTTTATGCCTGGTTAAATTAGATATAACTAACTAATTAATTAATTAATTTTAGTTAGGTATATATGACAGCAGAATGCATTTTGATTCATTGTACACAATTGCAGCACAACTTTTCATTTCTGGTTGTACATGATTTAGCATCACACCATATGTGCAGTCATACATGTACCTAGGGGAATAATGTCCATTTCATTTCACCATCTTGATGTCCCCTTCCCATCTCTCCCTCCCCTTTGCCCCATCAAAATTCTTTTATTTTCCCCATGGCCTTCACCCCCATTATGGACCAGCATCCACTTATCAGAGAGAATTTGGCCTTTGGTTTTTTGGGATTGGCTTACTTCACTTAGTATGATATTCTCCAACTCCATTTACCTAAAAATGCCATAATTTTATTCTCTTTTAATGCTGAGTAATATTTCATTATGTATATATATACATATATATATATATATATACATAATGAAATATTATATCACAGTTTCTTTATCCATTCATCTATTGAAGGGCTCCACAATTTAGTGCATTGTGCTGCTATAAGCATTGATGTGGATGTGTACCTGTAGTATGCTGTTTTTAAGTCCTTTGAGTATCAACCAAGGAGTGGGATAGCTGGGTCAAATGGTGGTTTCATTCAAAGTTTTCTAAGGAATCTCCTTACTGCTTTCCAGATTGGTTGCATCAATTTGCAGTCCCACCAGAAATGTATGCGTGTGCCTTTCTCCCACATCCTCATCAACAGACTACAATTTTATGTAAACCTTTTGTTTCATGAAGCAAAACTTATTTGTAATATATGGGAAATGAGTAAATTTTTCATGTAAATGGGGTAAAAGAATAATTTAGTATATAATTTTTAAAACTTGAGATACAACTTGTCTCATGTATCTTGCATCAATAGTTGGCAGATGGCACATATCCCCTGTAAATAAAGAACTTTTATAATTAATAAAAAGATAAATATTCCTATAATTCTAAGGAAAAACTGAAAAGGTTGGGAATAGACAATCCGTGTGTGTACTAGATCAAACAAAACATTTTAAAAATTCAACTTTTCTAGTATTTTTTAAAAACTTTATTTGTTTGTTTATTTATTTATTTAATGTGTTGCTGAGGATGGAACCCAGTGCCTTCCATGTGCTGGGCAAGTACACTCTACCATTGAGCAACAACCTCAGCCCTGTTAATAGTAATTTTAACTGAAGCTGACAAAAAGAGGGAAAATGGCAACACAAAGCAATTTGGAAATTAAATTTATAAGTGTTAAGAATATAAATGCTCTATATACAAATATTGCTATGCAAATAAACATAGGTCATGAAATAATATGTTACACGTACAGATTTTACACATAATGAAAATTATTATACAAGAAAAATATCAATAGTGTCTCCATAAAGATATACAGAAATTAAAAATTATATTGCAATTTAATATTTAATGAAATGAGGAATATAATCATATTCTGTTACTAAATGTCAAAAGAGAAGGATTCAATAATGTGCTATGTTAAATAACAAACATTTATACTATTATTGCTGGGGGATGAATCAAGAAGAGAGAACTTTAAAATGGTTTCCATAAATAAACAATGGTAACTCAGGAGAGGAGCCAAATCCAGACTCTGCAAGTTCAGCAGAGACTTTTCAGAGGCATTATATGATACCTCTGGATGGATGAATTGTGGGGTGTCTCGTGATTCTGGTGGGAAGAAAAGTTCCAGGCTGAGCAATTGCAGAAAAAGCTATTGCAAAGGCTCATAAGTGGTACAGAAATTTAAGACACTGAAAGTAATTCTGCATTGTTGGAATCTGCATCTGAGGAAAAAAGCCTTTGAGGTGGACTGAGGTGAGATCCAGAAGAGTTTCATAAGCTCTCTCCACTTCTCCCGTTCTGTAAACAATTGAGTGTAGTCTTATCATTAATATTTTGTAGTTAAAACTGTCTCTGTTAAACATTTTTAGAAAAATAGTGCTTATTTGTTCCATTAAGGAATGAATCCTGTTGTTAAATAAAAATAATAAAAGTATATCTAATTTTTTAATCTAGAATTTGGGACTTTGCTGTAATTTATGCAGAATTTGAAGGCTTTTTTTTTAACACGTGATCTTCAGAAGAGAGTGTTGAAATAAACCAGTTGTGATGCTTTTCTCAGCTAAAATTAGTCAGGAAATTCATCAGATCTGAAATTGTTTACAACAATTTAATGGCCTTTTCAGTTTTCATTTTAGGTGTATTATGAATTTATGAGTATTGCTCAAGCAGTACTCTAGCTACAGTAAAGAGCTATTATCTTCATTTAAAAATAATATTATAGTTAAGAGTTTTTATGATGAAGTATATATATTTAGTTTATTTATAGAATATATGTATGTATATATCCATACACATATATACATATACATATATGTTTGTGTGTGTATGTGTGTATATATATATATCCTACATGGTATTTAGAAAGACATTAAAATGGAATTATGCAAAATAGATGTAAGTCTTTTAAATTTGACCTTGAATTTATGTCATTAGAATCTAAAATATTGGAAAGAAAAATAGTATAAATATGATAGAGATGAAGCAAATTCTTTAAATTTGTTTAAGACTATATATAAAAAAGTTATCTTCAGGTTAATTTTGTGCCTGAGAACTGCAATAAAATATCACTTTTCTGACTTTTACCCTCTTCCAAATTTATCTTATTCTTCTATATGTTATTATGTTGTATAAGACCTGGTAGAATGAAACAGACATTACTTCCCTATGTTCATATATGAATACATGACCAGTGTAACTCCACATCCCGTAGAACCACAAGAAGGGGAACTTATATTTCATGTATGTATGTCAAAATATACTCTACTGTCATGTATACCTAAAACGAACAAATTAAAAAAAGAAAAAAAGGGATTGTAGAATCTTGTTAACATCAGAAACCATATCCTTTATCAACAAAATATGTAATTCAGGAATGAAATAAAGAAAGAAGGAAGTATTATTTTTGAGTTTCTCTTTGTGTTCAAAGTTCTCATCATTGATGCCTGCTTCTTTTGTTAATTTACCTAATGTTTAGGGACAAATTATAAAAAGGATTGGTGATTTATACATTACAAGTAAGCAGATTTTGAAGGGAAGCATTCTACTTGGTATTTACAAATCATCAATCCTCATATAGTTTCATCATAATGAAATTGCTTAAAAGTTAGTAGTTAGTATTGCATTTTCAGAAAGCACTAATGCTGATAGCTCCATCTCCTAAGATTCTGGATTATATTTTTTAAAAATAAAAGAATAATAAAGAAAAGAAAACCCTGTAGAACAGTACACTCAGGATCTTGATGCTCAGTAGCAAAATCTAAACTCTAGTCTAAATGCTAGCTCAGAAGTCTGTTCTGGTTGCAGCCTTCAAGTCTGATATGAATCACAGCTCCTCAATTGAAAACCTATTAAAAGTAGCAGCAAGGTTAATGAAGAGCAAGCTAAATCTCTGTAGAAATAATTCATGCTGACATTGAAATGTGTGCTGTCACATTTTGCTCTGTGGACTTAGACATGCTGCTATTTGCCCAGCACTGGGGAAGGGTAGAGCATAAATTGACTCACAGTTCGCGATGTTGGAGGAGCTGAAGGACTTGTTAGGGAAACCATCTCCTGGATTGCTAATCGGAGCTTTAAGCGATGCAGAGGATTGCTGATTCCAATTTCTCTCTGAATCTCAGTGTCTGATAAAGCAGACATGATGGCACCACTCTTCACGTTGGCTCGGCAAGCTGCCACATACCAGGCAGGCATTCCCAACCAGAGCTGTTGGATAAGATAAAACACAATCAGGTTGTAAAAATAACAATAATTAACCTTTTAGTGTCTTTTATATTCCAGGGATTATTCTAAGTACCTTACAGATATGAACTCATTTATTGCTCATACCCCATGAAATAAAGGCTATTATTCTCCCTGGAGGAGATAGGTGCACAGAGACATTAAGTGATTTGTTCAAAAACACCAGTGAGGTAGTAATGGAACCAGGATTTGAAATTGTGGTGTTTTCATATATAAAAGTGAAATCTGCATCAAATCCCCTCTTATGTATAAGGGCAAAAAGAAGAGCTATAAGTTGAATTTAGCAATGGGTTCAATCCATTTTTGTTTAATGTGACTTCAATTTATAATTTTCCTTTGAAATTCTGAGTTTGGAGAAATTTTGTTACAGAATGAGACAGTTTTACCATCTCGAGCCTTGTGATTCCAAACAAACCATGCAGGGTAGCTAAATCATCTTTCCACCTACCTATGAACACCTGACCCACAGAAGCCCTGAAGTAATGAATGCCATGTTTTGGTATAATTTGTTACTCAGTAGTTGATAACTATAAAATCTATGATATTAAAAAACTATGTAAGGCGGTGGTGGGGGGAGTTCAGAAACTAAAAGCCAAATCTCTGAAGCAGTATAGCTGGGGCTGTGACTGAAATAAGAAAAAGGATAGAGAGAATTTAAGCACAATGACTATATAGTTGATCCTGCAAATTTGTCCTGCAAACTTGACCTTACTGTGACAGATACATTACTGATGATGGGAGATAGGACTGATTTCTTACTTTATAAATTCAAACTAATTTTATAAACTTTGTAAATTTATAATTCTGTATTTTAATACAAAAAATGAACATCTAAATACACTTTCACTAGACCCTAATGATTCTGTACTCCTCTTCTAAGATCTCCACACTGGTTAATGTTGTCCAAATGCTTGTCTATGCATTGATACCAATGTTCTTTGTGATGGCACTTTAAAGAGTTTTTGATGTTACTAAATGGTTTGCAAAGCTTCAGACTCCCTCCTATACAACATTCTTTAGAGACTCTGAACTCCAGGAAGTGGAAGGTGAACATTAAGAGCTCTCATTCATTGGAGCACCAGCTGATTCATCTTTCTTATTCCACTTTATAATTTGAGTCACATTAGGAATCACATTATGAGCAATTTCTGTATGCTCAGGATAGGTTTAATTAGCACCAACTGCACTGCCTGTCATTTCCTAGCACCTTAATGCCAGTAAATCTGTTTTTTTATTCTGAAGGATTTGCTCATCACTTGCCAAAATAGCAGCGAACTCTGTCAAACTGCAGCTCATTTTATTGAAGTGAAATCTGAACAAAGAACTCTTATCACTTTTCAGGTGTGATGTCTTAAGCATTCTGTCTTGTAATTGATTTTTAAAATACAGTAATTTTAAAGACATGTTTGGAAGAAGCAGTTCTGATGTCTAATATGCTAAAATTTCCCTGACATGGCAGAATAAAATAAAAGAAACAGACTTGTTTCAGTTGAGTCTAAGAAAAAATGCAAAGTATGATTTTATACCTATACTAATCTACTTTTTTAAACCAAAGTGAGTTTTGATTTTTTCATCATTGATTAATTATATATGGATATATGATGATGAGGTATGTGACTTTATAACCCCAAGCCATTTAAAACAATGTGTGTTATTGCCTTTATTAGGCAAGAAAACCATAGATTCTGCTTTCCCCCTCTATTAACATCTTCTAGTGTTGCTAGCAGCAGCCCACACTAGGGAACTAAATGGAAATGACAGTGACCACCACTCATACATAACATAAAGGGGCCCTCTGCGGTCTAATAAATATTCCCCTCCCTGTCAGTGTCTGTGTCTCCTGCTCTCCACCCCAGTCATACATTGTTTCTCCAGAACATTATATTCTGGGAAAATGCTGAATGTGGTTCTTATTTAATTAACTTGAACTAAACTTAATTAATTAACTTTGTTTATTAATAAGTTGAGTGAACATGAATTAAACTGATTTTTTCTTCATTTTCGACACAGTAGGGAACTAAGACATATGTCTTCTCCTTAATGCCAAGCGTCTAAACCTCGCTGATCCTTAGACCTGTAAGAACCACGTTCAAGAATTAAAAAGTGAAGGTTCAGCTCCCTTATGATTGGGTGGACTTCATATCTTAGATAACAGAAGATAGCTCTTCTCTGCTAATGTGGACTAGTAGATTGGAACAGGTACTTTCTTACAACAATTGAAAGATGGATCAATAATTATTTCTTCTGCTCTAGACCTTTCCTTTTACCCCACTGCATGCTTTGTTCTGCTATAATCACAGGAAAGTGTCAGAGTGAAATCCTAGTGCTCCCAGGTCCCCCAGATAAGGCAAATAATTCCTCTATGAGCAATTCTAGTCCATTGTTAAGCTAGGATCCAGAAATGACAAAATCATGGAATTTGCAGGGAAATGGATGGCACTAGAGCAGATTATGCTAAGTGAAGCTAGCCAATCCCTAAAAAAAACATGCCAAATGTCATCTTTGATATAAGGAGAGCAACTAAGAACAGAATAGGGAGGAAAAGCATGAGAAGAAGATCACCATTAAACAGGGACGAGAGGGGGGAGGGAAAGAGAGAGAGAAAGGAAATTGCATGGTAAAGGAAGGAGACCCTCATTGTTATACAAAAATTACATATAAGAAGAAGTGAGGGGAAAGGGAAAAAAACAAGAGAGAGAAATGAATTACAGTAGATGGGGTAGAGAGAGAAGATGGGAGGGGACGGGAGGGGAGGAGAGGGGGGATAGTAGAAGATAGGAAGGGCAGCAGAATACAACAGACACTAGTATGGCAGTAGGTAAAAAAGTGGATGTGCAACCTATGTGAATCTGCAATATGTATACGGGGTAAAAATGGGAGTTCATAATCTGCTTGAATCAAATGTATGAAATATGATATGTCAAGAGCTTTGTAATGTTTTGAACAACTAATAATAATAAAAAATAATAAAAAAATTAAAAAAATAAAAAAACCCAGAAACCTATCTTTACCTATCTCTAAAAACTATTAATGAGTAGTGATTGACTTAGGAACTTCTAGTTTGATTTTCTCACCTCTAGCCAAGCGACCACAGTGGGTCCATCCCACTGGGCAAAAGGCAATCCTTTCCTCCGAGCTTCTTCAAGAAGTTCATGCCTAAAGTACACAGCAAAGATCATTTGTCAGTAATATGGAAAAAAAGATGTTCGTGGTTATTTTTAATGTCACTATTTTGAAATAACCAATGATCCTTTATAACTTTTAATGAGATGGCACGGAATAAACAAAATTCTTCTTCCTTTGAGTAATATAAGCAGACCACACATTGATTTTATTAGGGATGACATGTTGATATCTAAAACTGATCTTCTCTAACATTTATTCACTAAATTTGAATGTTATGTGCTAATGAACTAAGAATCTGAATTATACTATCAGCAATGATCTTATCCCTTTAGTATGAGTCACATAATCATATTCAATCATATATTATGAGATCTAAATCTGTCTTATTTCATCTGCCCTTCTCTCTTCTCATTACCATTTCAATGGCAGAGAACATATTTGGTTACAGAAATAAAAAATGAATTTGGTCATTTTGGCCCCATTTTTCATGGGGTACTTGATTTCAGTCTAACCTCTGGGCTCATGAGTAACTTAGAAGTTAGTTCTTTGGATTGTAAGACTACATTTCAATTGTTTTTGAAGATTTGAACAATATTATTAATGAACTTGTTCTATTGACTATATAACAACAGCTTCCCCAACAGTTAGGCAATGTACATTTTGAATACAACATAGATCATTTAGAAAAATGGAATATGTATTTGGTCACAAGTGAAATATCCATAAAAAGGTAAACCAGGCAAAGAAGACAACCAAGAGCACAGAGGCTATGACACTCAGGAAAGTATGAAGCTTTTTAAGGAAAAAACAAAGGACTATAAAACGAAACCATTCTACTGTCTGTGGCCTCCAGTTTGCAACTTCTAAGGGTCTGCTCTGCTCTGAAGTCATCCAAGCCCAAGCGTGTGCTACTGCCACCTGTCCATCTTGTTGCTCACTCTCTGACCTCTTGGCCACTCATAGATAGCTGAAAACCATATCTCATTTCATAAGAACTCCAACCCAAGTTGATTTCCATCACTAAAAAGCAAAGTATAAAATTCAACAGTATATGTATTTTCATTTATACTCACTGCTGCTTTTAAAGAAAGTAAAATACTTCAATGAATATAAATGGTTGTTTTTGATATCAAGATAATGTAAAGAGCCCCAACAAATGCATCTGCAAGTCCACTGTCCCTACCACTGAGAATTTAGAGCTGATGTACACTTACTAAATCAACTTAAGATCATTCCTTATTGAGACAGCAGGAATGTGTTTCCATTGAAATTAAAAGTGCTGTATATCTGGCCAGGAAAATATTTAGAAATACATTCTCTGTATCTTTATATGCCATAATCCTAGACTCAAATGATGGTATGATACTTGCTTTATTTTGAATGTATGTCTTTCATGCTTTGAAATATATCACAGATAGTATACATGAACTCTCAGATACAGTATTTATTTCCTACTATTTATTAATTTTTAGGATAAATTATATTCATATAATATATAGTAAAAATTACTTCCAACACCAGAACTTCATGTGTTTGTAATAGAGGCAGCCAACAAAACTGCATAGAAATGTAGCAAGGGGCAAAGCAAAACTTGCAGCTTTAGTGGCTGAAGAGAGACATAAATTAACTGGTGTTTCATTTGAGTAAATGGCATCAGTAAGTTCTGTGTATAAGCTATCCAGCACTCTGGTACCCTGAATCTGAAGTACAGGCATCCCTTTAGTTGGTTTCTCTACCATCACCAGTTCCTTTGGGCATCCCAGTTACATTCCTTCTTTGAAAATCAGTTTTGAATAGTTTAGTTTCACTGTGGTAGATATATTTATAGAATTGGATTGAAGGATCAAAGTATAAACAAGCAGGTGCTCAACTCACTGTTGTGAGCTAAGACTTGAGCTCAGGTTGAAAAATAGAGCAGAAGACCCTGTTTTGGAGCCAGCAGTTAATTGACTCAAGATCTCCTGTTAGATCAACAAACATGAAACTGTTTAAAAACATACAGCATACAAATATTTGCTTAAACTCAGGGATGCACATTCTGATTATGGAATTTTGGTTGTTATTAATCGTTATCTTCTTTAACAATAATGCAAACAATTGGTGAAGGCTAACTTTGAAAGGCAAGTAGAACTGATATGCAGATAGCACTATGAGCAGGATAAGCAGTAATGGTGAAGGTGCAGAGAGAGAAATTAACATGGTCTATGTGCAAGAAAAATTTAGAATAGTCTTTCCACAGAGTCTGAGCATGTTGTTAGAGTTGTAACATTATACTCAATAGGTAACAGAATAGATCTAGTTATAATAGATACATGCTAATAAATGGGAAGAAACAAAGATACAGTTACAATGTTCTTATTAGTTTAGTGAGAAAGTAAGTAAGTAAACACACACTAATAATCAAGGAACATTTTCATACCGGAACTATGTAAGTTGTACAAAAATCATCTTTAAATGTTAAACCCCTTTAATTTTGAAACTTCTGACCAGTTCCCTAAAACAAAAACAAAAACAAACAAAAAACTACCATAAAAGCCAGAGTGAACCTATTAAAACTTAAATCTAATCATATAACGTCACTGCTCATAACTCTCCAATAACTCCTTGTCTCACTGAGTGGGTTCCACTCCACTCTCCATATCTCACCTGAATTAACTCTCTTCTTATAGTTCTCTGGAAACACAGAGGTCTCTTTCTGTCTCAGGAATTTTGCACTTGCTGTCAATTCCATTTGGAAGATTCTTTCTATCTACATGTGACTCACTTCTTCACCTATTTTAACTAGACTCAAGTGTCACTTCCTCTCTGTCTCCTTTCCTATATCCTCTGACCACCTAAAGGTATTTCTTGTTCCCTTCTATGTTTAATTTTTCTCCATGCATTTACTTTCTAACAGTATATCATTTACTCTTCAGTCTATGATCTGCCAATAGGATACAAGCTCAAGAAAGACAAATGCTTTTATATATTTTGTTCAGAGATGAGTTTGAAGTTTGGAACAGTCAGGCATAGAAGAAGAACTCAGAAAATAGTGCTAAATGTTGACCAATATACCAGGCCATATTTATATTTATGTGCATCCTGTTTTAATAAATTGTGTTCCATAATGTTTTATTTTTGCTTATGAATATTTTCATACTTCAGACATCTTTTGCTATTTTATCTTACAACATTCAAATTTTTATGTTTTAAGTAATGAAAGATTTTCTTCTGCCCTACCTCCCTTTGAAATGTTTATTTTTTTTCTTTCTCAGACTAGCCCTGATTATAGTTGATCCCAGGTGTCTGATGATCACTGATGGGGTTCTGGTTAAGAGGCAGCCCAAAAGTGATTACATATTATTTTAATTAATCTATTATTTTAATGAGATGATTGGGAAATTATTGAGCAATCTGGCTCTTGAGAAAGTTGTTTGGTTTAAATCACAACTCTCACAACACAATAGCTATAGTGATATAACTGAAAGAAATATGGTAAGGGAGCCCCAAGTCCAATGAATTCTGCCCTTTTGGCCCCAACTGTTAGATCTGACTCTAAGCAGAAGCCTTAATATAATACACCCCAGATCAGGAAGAAACAGACGAGCCCAAAAGTGGATGGCTGGGCTATATCCAGGACTGGGTATTACAGGAGAGTAACTCCAGACTTACTTGTCCTTAACCCAAGGGAAGTATCACTCATGTAAAGAAAGATGTGGACATGCTGGCTTTGGAGAGAAGTAATTTTAGAAAAATAAAGCAATGTGGGCAATGTTGTAAGAAATCACTGAGTCTAATATTTAATCTTCTACCAGATTATTAAGGATAATATTGACTGTATGGGGCTTAGTTGTTGCTATCAGAAAAATAGTGCTCTAAACTATTTAGGAAATATTAAACAAAAAGCTGATTTGTTGCAGACAAGGATTTTGAATATACTGGTATTCTTGGTTTGATCAGTCCATGTGTGAGAAGGTATTTAGTCTGGAATACATTTTCTTTATAGCTGATATTCAACCTTTTAAAGGCCAAGAGGCATTTCTCAGAGTGAGGCTATGATCAGTTCTCCTATTACATTTTTTTTAATATTTATTTTTGATTGTAGTTGGACACAATACCTTTATTTTATTTATTTATTTGTATGTGGTGCTGAGGATCAAACCCAGGGCCTCACACATGCTTGGCAAGCTCTCTACCACTGAGCCATAACCCAGCCCTCCTATTCCAAATTTGATTTAGAAAACTATCTTTCTATTTAGAACTGAAGAAACACTTTTTCTTTCCTAAGATAAATGTTCCAACATTTTTTCTCAAAGGATACTTATACATCATTGTAGTTGTGAGCTTGAATTTCAGCTTTAAAATTTAGACTAGATTTTTTTCCTTCTATGTTTTCTTTCTTTTATTAATTGTTTTTTAATTTATATATGACAGTGGAATGCATTACAATTCTTATTACACATATAGAGCACAAAAATTTTTCATATCTCTGGTTGTATACAAAGTATATTAATACCAATGTACTTTGGAAAATAATGTCTATCACATTCCACCATCATTTCTAACCCCATATTCCTTCCCTTCCCCTCCCACCCCTCTGCCCTATCTAGAGTTTGTTTATTCCTCCCATGCTCCCCCTCCCTACTCCACTATGAATCAGCCTCCTTATATCAGAGAAAACATTTGGCATTTGTTTTTTGGGGATTGGCTAACTTCACTTAGCATGATCTTCTCTAACTCCATCTATTTACCTGAAAATGTGTGAACCCTCACATATCAGATAGAGCACTAAAAAACTCAAAAGCTAAACACTAAAAAAAGGAAATAACCCAATGAATGAATGGGCCAAGGACCTGAACAGAAACTTCTCAGAAGATAATATATAATCAATCAACAAATATATGAAAAAAGTGTTCATCATCTCTAGCAATTAGAGAAATGCAAATCAAAACTACTCTTTCATCTCACTCCAGTCAGAATGGCAGCTATTACGCATACAAACAACAATTACTGTTGGCGGGGATGTAGAGAAAAAGTTACACTCATAAAAT